TGGTCCAAATTCGGGCAGGATCTCTGCTTGTGCCCTTAATCAAATCACTTAACTTTTTGGTGCCCCTTGTTTCTATATTGATATAAAGGAATGAGTATCTTTTCCTCTGTCCAAGAACCTCAAATAATATTATAAATTCCAAAAGTTTAAGGGAAAACATGCAATGCCTGCACGCTAATGTTGGGAAGAATTTGGTAAATGGAATACCAAAAGGATGACACCATTTGCTTGGGTGCCTCCCTGGCCAGATGTTTCATATTTCTTATATGCTCCACAGTCAGCTTATTTCCCCTTATGTCAATCATTCCCCTCCAAATCCCCACCCACCACAGGACCAGATAGGGACTGCTTTCTCGCTGCCTTCTTGGGAGGGGGTGATGCTGAACTGCCATCCCAATAGATCCGGTTGCCCTATTGGGGCAACAGGAATGAAATTCACAATCCATTTGCAAATCACACCACATATCATGAACTGAATCTCTCATCAAAAGAAAAAAAAAAACTTTTATTTTTTTTCTATTGCATAAATAATGGTAAATTAGACTCTTTTTTATACAGATTATATATTTACAGACAGGTTTGGTTAGAGAAAACATCTGGTAAATATGGCAGTCAGGTTTCCTTTATACACTGAGATAACATATGAAGAATATATGCTTCATTGGATCAGTAAGTTGCATGCCGAGTTAATTTATATTAATATTTACATTTTATATAAAGATTTTCTTTTGACTGGTCTGCGGACTCTCTCATTGCTTAATAGCAGAAATCATCAACCGATATTACATGGAAAAAAAAAATGATGGAGCGAGGATGAGGTAAACGGGAAGATTGTCACCCAGGATTTCAGTCTTCGTGGCTAAGTCTGGACACGAGAGCGGCCAGGCTCCTGCTGTCCTGGTTATAACGGTCCTCAGCTGCACTCCGATTTGCATCCAGCCATTTGCTACTGTGGTTTGAGAAAAGGTTCATGTCTCAGGTCTGACAACCCCTTGGATCGCAGTGATCCCCACCTCCAATAGATGACCATTTGCCAACCCTCCGCCCTGACCAGGTTTTCAGGTCTGATTCCCCTCTGAGGGCATTGTCTTTGGTTAGTCCTTGGCGACATAGCTCTTCCTGGATTCAGAATCGGGGAAGAAAATCAAATCCCATTAAGAAGCCATTCAAGGACCCCCGAAACCTGATTTCTGGGTCAGTAAGAAAGAATATTCTTTGATTTTCCTCGGAGAGAGCTGAGAGACACGGGCTTGGTTACATTTCCACCAGGAGCTGAAAGGGCCCTTTCCTGGCTAATCTAGGTTTTTCCAGGGAAGAACAGCAATAAAAACAAAAAGAAAAGGACTGAAACCTAGGAGTTCATGTTGTCATGGGCAGAAGGGCTGGAGACTTTGGGGGTTCCTGCAGCCACTCTCCTCCTGCCCTCTCCCCCTCATCATGCTTGGGCCACACCTACTGCAGGCACCCGTGGATGCCTTCACCAACCAGCTAAAGGGCAAGCGCAGACAGCTGGTCTCTCTGGACAGTCCACCTAATTCCTGACGGTCACCAGAGGTCACACAGCTCCCTTCTGCAGGGTTACAAATAACTGCCAACCACAGTCACATACACAAGAACTGCTATTCCAGTGGCCAGAAAAAAAAGGAAAGAGAGAAATGACCGGAAGTTGTGCTCTTTATTCGGTAGCTTCTTTGGGCTTTCAGATGGAGAAACAAGCACCTTTTCCTGGAATCTGGCTTTGTTTCCCCTCCTTCTGCATGTTTTCTGATTCCTGTAACTTGTGGTAAGATGATCAAAGCCTCTTATCTTTCACACTGGCTAAGCCAGGCCATATTCTTGTGCTCCCTTGAATCAGCCAGACCCCAGGAAGTAAATGAAACCTCTTGTCCGCAACACATTTGCTATAAGCCAATTTGCATTGTTTCGTCTATAGGCAATGGACACCACACGGGATACTTGATTACAAACGGCCTCTTGGCACTTGTGTTAAAAAAAGGAACTCAGTCACTAATGTAATTCATAGGGGATGCAAGGCCCTGTCAAGTATGGGCATTCATTTTGACTTGTTTCAGACAAACGAGTCACGAGGGGAGGGCTCTTCTGGGTCATCTGGTTTACCTTTCCTCTTGCTTTAGAGATGAGAAACCTGAGGCCAAGAAGGGAAGTCACTCAAAATGATCCAGCTGGTCCGTGGCAGGGGCACCTGGGGTCCTGCCTCCTGTGCCCTTCCCAGCCGAGAGAGCTGCCCACACTCCTGGTTCTATGCTCTGCTCTCCTGGCTTCAGTTCAACAGGCCCAAGGCCAGACAGAGAGCCTGGGAGAGGCATCTGGGCCTTGGCCACTGTCAGCATCCCCCACGGAGAGGAGCTACCAGCCCGCTCTCGAAGTTCCCAGTGCATGTCCTTGGGAACAGGCTGATGGCAGCAGCCCCATGGCACGCAATGCCCTGTGCTCCCAAAGCCGACCTGATAGACAGGGAACACATTCAGAGACCAGCCTCTGCAGACCCTTAAAAACTGTCTTTTTCTCTCTTAGGTCCAGGCCTGGGGCAACATCACACTTGGATTTTGCATTCCTTGGAGTATTCCTTCCTAATTATTCTGCTCTTCTACTCCACCGGACAGTTCCAGCCTCTGCGTCCTTTCACTTGGACAATAACTTCTAACAATGTCAGAAGCATCCGCCCATCATGCTCAAGGAAAAGAGGTGGGTGAGGGCTATGCCAGCATCCCCAGGGGGCTACGCAAGCTACCCAAGGTAGGGGTAAGGGGCAGGAGGCTGGATAAGTCTTTTCCAGTTTTAGAGAACTGTTTGTAGGACTGGCACAACCTGATTCTCTGTGGCTATATTTCAAGCCAACTGAACCCAATTAATTTCACCTTGAAGACTTTTGTCCTTTGAGACCCTATAAAAAGGGCCCCAAATCAATAAAAAGTAGAAACCATAGCTGCAAAAAAGACTGTGCAATAGCAATGAGCATAGGATACTAAGAGAAATGCGTGGATGGTTTGTGTACTTGACCTTATTCCTCCAAATCAAGTGTCTCTGGCAAGGCCACTTAACTGAGGACAGTCCCCTGAGTGACTAAGTCAAAGGAAGGATGGAGTGAGGCTGAACAGTTCTGACATTTAAATCGTCATGGAGACAGGTCCGTAAGAAGCAGCCCAAATCCTCCTCTCTTTTGCCATCACTTTAAATAATTCAGATTGAAAACCCTAGCTGCTGTTTCTTTTCTACTTCTGATGGATTTTTTCCCCCTATTGGGGGCATTTAGCCATGAGGTGGTGAGGGAGGATGGCTATGGCAAGGCCTCTAGGTTACGGACTTTTAGCCCTGAGAGGTCGCTGAAGAGGCCACGTGACACTCTGACCTGCGGTCATTCCAGACAGATATTCTGCAGGGAAGGCAGCCCTGCAGTCTCCTAGTAATGTAACTGGTATGTGCCGTAGTCTAGAAGCTTAAGCTCAGTCCATCTGCATTATCATGGCATTATAGAAAAAGGGGCACCTCCTTTTTACAGTGGGGTTCAGGACCTTCTCTATATGTCAGTGGAGCAGGGTGAGTGACATGATTCCTATGGGCCTTTGGAGAAATAGTACAGTGAGATGAGCCAGTATGATTCGAGACCTCCAGCTGGGAGGAGCAGCGCTCAGCAGCTTCCGCAGGGCCAGAGAGCCAGGGCCCCGCAGAACAGGGTGCCACAGCATCGGCCACCATGGTTGGGCCAGCCCAGCTAAGGGGTCGAGCTGTGCAGTCACACCTGTACTCTTCTACTCATGCCTTCATATGGTCCCAGGGAAGCTCTAGCTACTGGTGAAGAGCAAACGTCTCTTTGATTTATGATCTGAGTCTGGACTTAAACCTGGAGAAGGCATTTGGAATAAAATAAATTTCTTCCTCTCAGTTCTTAGATGTATCACTTTATGGTTACGTGGATGGGAGGTTGGGAGGGCATTCTTGTCAAACTGTGCTTGCTATCTTTCATTAGGTTCTTCTGGGTAACTATAGAGAGCAGACCAGCAATTTTCAATCGGTGTAACGAGGCACACTGGTGCGCCGCAAAAATTTTTAAAACATGCACTACCTGTCAGGGGCACTGACCTCTTTTCCCTTAGATTGTCAAATAAAGAAGTGACAACAGCCAACGTAATAGCCGTCCAGTGTGCATGAATCAAAATTACACCTATTTTTTGTCAGATCAGCAAAAAATACATTTTTTGGTGTGCCGCAGAATTTTTGTAATTCGCTTATGCGTGCCATGGGATGAAAAAGATTGGAAATTGCTGGAGACCATTTGTCCTGTGAAACCTGAGACAGGAGCAGGTATTAAGAACGAAGACTTGCAGGACACATCTTCTCTGCAAATGAAACACCCAGCGTCTTCCGAAACCACTGGACTTGCCCAAGACCACATGTCAACCTCCATTCACTTCAGTTCACATTTCTGGCTCATGGGAGAGTTTCTTAACCGGCAAACAGATGCTTTGGACGATTGAGGCTTAAAATAGCTTTGCCTTCCAGATGACACTTCTGACTTTTCACCCAGATTGAGAGGTCCTTGCTCTGGGCCCTGGGAGGTGGGGGAGGGGGAGAGTAGGGAGGATGCCACCTGGCTCCCAGGTAGCTCCTGTTCTCCTGAGCAAATGGGAGGGCAGGTTCAAGCACAAAAGAAAAAAGGCAGAGAAACCAGGAGATGTTTGAAGGGTAATTTCCCCACAGCAGGATGTGGATGCAGGGAGTCAGGTTGCAATCAGGCAGAACCCAAGTGTTCCTTAAGAAAATGTTCCCTATTTTTGTGTGCCTTGGCAAACTCTGGGTGGAATGCAAGGGTTGCCATGGCAACCCCCCCCCTTGTTTTTTTTTACAGATTGGTCACATGGGATCCACATTCTGGAAGCCACTGCTAATAGTTCCCATGCTGGGTCCTATTTGGGGGCCCTGTCTGCTTCTGGAGTGATGGGTGACAGCTTCTCTGGGGGCCAAGGGCGTTAGGGTCTGTATTTCTTGTCTCTCAGGCAGAATGCCTCCTTGATCATCCCTGTGTGGCCTGGGGGGCACCCATTCTTGCAACAAGAATGAGCCAAACTCAATTTGCCAGTCACTCAGAATAGGCCGCTATGTCTATTAGCTAAGAGCACAGAGGGAGAGTTGATGTCCTCCCTCTCGTTTCCTGCAGAGGTCACCTCCCACTGGGGCCACAAGGCCTGGGGGACCAGGATCTTCTAGAGTCTTCATCCAGGAACATCACAACCCCTGTGGTGAGGATGCTGACAGGTATGGGGCCCTGGAGGGCACTGGTGTGGACAGGACTGGGGGGTGGGGTTGGGGGAAGTCAACACCCTGAGCTGCCTGACAAAGACCATCCAGACAAAGGAGCCAGGGTGCAAGTCACTGGGATGAGCTCTTAGCTCCCAAAGTCTCAGGAAGGCCACTACTCTGGGTTGTCTCCACACCCTGCAGCCTGTGGGACACACCTGAGGTTATGGAGGAGGTTAACTTCTAGCCCATCCAAGAGAGTGCTGTGGATTCCTTCGTGTCCCCTCTCCCTAGCAACTCCCACAAAGAATGCACTCTCCTGGATTTCCTCCAGGTAGGATGTCTGTCTTCCCGGGCACTAGGTCACTGGGAGAGGAAAGAAGTCCTCTTTGGGGGGAGGACTTTGTAGGGAACAGTCTGTTGGTGCCTTGTGGGAACTCTTTTAATCTCTACCCTTGCACGGTGGCTAATCTGTCTTTCAATAAAGGCTAACCCTCACATCATCAGGGTCCCTGTTCTCCAGTGGGAGGCAGAAGAACCTGCAGAACAGCAGCCTTTGAAGAAGTCCAGCCTCACCTAGAGCATTGCAATCCCATCTCGTGGGGCACAGTCCTTTAAGAATCGTCCCTGGGGTCTCCATCTAGTCTACTTAGGACCCTGCACCCCCTCCCCCAGTATAATGTAGTCTAGTGGTTCAGGGGCCCTTCCCACCTAAGTTCAATTCAGATAGAGAGGGCCAGCTGCTTTGGGCAGCAGCTAACGATGAAGCTGTCCTATTAGCATGCTATGGTTGGACCTGTTCTTGTTCAGGATTCTGATGGCGGGGGGCGGGGGGGCATGGTGAGTCAGGCAAGGGGAGAGAGGAGAGGCAGATGTGCAGGTGTGCTGTGGCAGGGCAGGGTGGGCAGGCAGGCTGGTGCTTTCCTGGCCTGGATATGCGGGGCCCCAGGCATTTTCCCAGAGAGACTCTCATACCCCTAGACTCTCGAAAGCTTACACCTGCTCCCTCCTCTGTACTATGGCTCAAACCCTAGTTTTTCTTGTGCTCATCATGGATATTCTCGGTCTCCCACAGTGGGGGAGTTCCTACAGCTGCCCCCAGGCTGTTGCCTGAAGCGCTGACAGAGGTGCATTGGAAGAAGACCCTAAGCTGAGACCGTGGATGCTCCAAGTCCGAGAAGGCAGTAAGGAGAAAGCGGAGAGGGGGGAGGAGGGGAGCTCGAGGAGAGGTTCAGGAACACACACCCCACCAAAAAGCCTACCTGGCTGCAGTGAGAGAGGAAAGGTTCTGGAACCTCAAAGCTTTCGGATGCAAGAGGAGCAAGACGATTCCATCATAGAAATAAAGACCTGAGCTTGGAAAAGTACGAAGGGAAATGTTCCATTGAGAGGGTATTGGCTAACCAGACTATGCAAGCTTGAATTAATAGTGGTGGCTGATATGACACGTAGGAAAAGTCAGGAAATCACAGACTTGAAATGGTGTTGAAAACAGACCACTGCATTCCATTTCCTTCCCCGAAAAAAGTATTCCGCAGGCAGGATAAGTGGCCTGTCCTGATGGCTAAGCTTATTAACATCTCTTTGTTTTGTTTTGTTTTTCTCTCATGGAAGCGAGTCAGTTGCAGGATCTGAATGCCCGAAGATGTTATGGAAAATACAGTAGTTTGATCTTTCCACTCTGGATTGTATTCCTCTTTTTATCTGGGGAAGACTAACGGACCAAGCCAACTGTAAGGTGAGAAAAAGGTAAGATGCGTGAGGACCTTAACTTACAGAGGTCTTCTGGCAGGGAGACGTGTGCGGGCTCCATTGTTGCAGACTGGGGCGTGGGCTGCAACACCTCCTCGCCACCAGTCTCAGTCCCGTCCCCCAAACGACCTCTCCCACCCAAAAGAGGCAGGGATGCGTGTCGGAGGATTAGCTTATATGAGGAGTAAGTGATTAGGGAAGAATGATGCCACACATGAAGAAGCCAAATAGATACACCTATCTACGTGTCTATGTGATTATAGAGATGCCCACGAGTATGCTTCTTTGTTCTTTAATGGCAGCACAAGCAGCACAGCTGGGAGGAAGGCTCTCTGCAGATTCCAAAATGCTGGTGCGTGATGGGCTCTAGGAACTGAAAGCCAAGTGCAGATGGAAACCGAGACCTCCCCAGCTCTGCCAGCTAGAGTCCTGTAGAAAGGCTGTAAGAACGGAAGCAGCTGCAGGTCCTGCACCCCTCCGACAGCTTTCCCCTCACGCCTTGGGGGGCGCTCCACTAGGTGGAGGAGGAAAGCCAGGGACAGGTGGAGAGCCCCCTCGTCTGCGGCAACCCTGAAGTCACCCCTTGGGTTGCCCTGGGGGGTCTCCAGTTGCCCCCTGGGTTGAAAGGACGGGGCGGGGAGGTGACTGCGTGTTCACGCCTCTCCCTTGCTCTCTTACCACTGGCCCGCATGGCCACTGGAATTCCGAGATGAAAATGAAGTTCCTGTGCGGAGTTTCTGCAGGTGGTTGAAGCGATCACTCGGAACTCCTGGCTATTTATTGCATTAGGAAACAAAACCATTAAAGCATTGAAGACAGCCCTTTTGTGTCCCTGCCAAGGAGATGAAGTGGACTTGCAACAGAGGTTGCACTGCAACCTTGGGTTCTTCGCCGAACTGAGCCACGTCTGCATCGTCCAGATCTGCTTTTGTGGAGGAAGAGTCGGCCCGCAGGGCGTGCGCATGCGCAGTGAGCGGGGACCGCAGCGGCGGGCGGCGGGCGGCGGCTACTCCATGCCGCTCCGCAGGATCTGGTTGGCGGCGATCAGCATGACGCTGATGATGAAGGCCATGGCGAAGGCGCAGATGAGGCTCTTCCGCACGCAGGTCTGCCGGTTCTGTTTCTGGGAGTGCACTGGGGGTGGGGCAGAGGAAGGGGGGGGGGGGCGGAGAGGAGAGAAACGACACAGTGAGAGGAGGCAGGCTGCACCTCTTCCTCAGCAAGCCCGAGTCCAGTCCACAGGAGGCAGACTGGTCAGGTCAAGTCCACAAGCATTTCTGGGCCCACTCTGAACATCTGAACATCGCGACTTCTGGCAAATGGTATAAAACGGTGAGACTTCTATAACAAAGACCGTGACAAATGTGATGTTCAGAGAGTCCGGTCTAGATTTCCGGGTGTAAGAGTTCCCGTGACTTTCTGAGGGAGTCTCACAAAGGGCATCGTCCTGGCCCTGCTGTGGCCGTGTCTGCGGAATGCCTGGCTGCCACACCCGAGGCGGCTGATCACAGAGAGAATGAGGGCCCTCATTGCCCTGCTGGGCTGGAAGCAACTCACCTTTCCCAGAACTGTCCTTGGGTGGCTGCTGTCTAAATGACTCTAAGCGACTTCTCGCATTATTTCATATGCGCCCACCAGTGATTCTAGAGGGGTCCCTGGGCAAGCAGCGTCTGCATCACACAGGGCTTCTTAAATATGCAGATTTTTAGCCCAATGTGTCCGGTGTTGCTGGGTGGTTGAGCATTGATCTATGAACCAGGAGGTCACAGTTCAATTCCCAGTCAGAGCACATGCCCAGGTTGTGCGCCCCATGCCCAGGAGGGGGTGTGCAGGAGGCAGCCAATCAATGATTCTCTCTCATCATTGATGTTTCTCTCTCTCCCTCTCCCTCTCCCTTCCTCTCTGAAGTCAATACAAATATATATATTTTTAAAAATGCAGCTTTTCAGGAGGGGCCTCACCCCAATCTATTGAGTCAGTGACTGAGGGTTAGCGGGGTGGTCCTGGTGCATGCTGATGTCTGAGAAGTGGGGACTACAGGCATCTAGACAAGACCAGTGTGAAGATCCTGTGGCCCCAGGGGTCTGACCTTGGGTCCTGGAATTGTGTACTCTTCTTTTGTTGGGCCAGGTCTTACACCACCATTTTTCTAAGGCCCAGGAGACACCATTGCTCTCAACCTTCCTAATGCCGCAACCCTTAATACAGTTCCTTATGTTGTGGTGACCCCCAATTTCATTGTTACAAATTGAACATAATTAAAGCATAGTGATTAATCACAAAAATAATATGTAATTATATATGTGTTTTCCGATGGTCTTAGGTGACCCCTGTGAAAAGGTCATTCGACCCCCAAAGGGGTCGCGACCCACAGGTTGAGAACCGCTGAATTAGTGGTTATTAATATGGACCAGGAATTGGGAAATGGAAGTAACAAGAAAGAAGTTTTGATAATTGTGCTGAGAAAGAACAAGTCTCTTTTCCAGGCATCACTTCCCAGGCCAGCTTTCTTTTTCCTTCTTTTTGTCCTCCCTGCCGTCCCAGTCCTGCATTGATCTTGCATAGTTTACCGCTTTAGTTTATGGAAGAAACCTGTGCCCCGGAGGCAGCCAGGAGGCTCCCTGCATCAGAGCTTCTCACTGGACCAGCAGCATCAGCGCCAGGTGGGAGTTTGATATAGACGCGGATTCTCAGGCCCCACTGCAAAATTACTGAATCAAAATCTCGGGGGGTGGAGGCCAGGCCAGGTGATTAGGGAATTACTGGGCTCCACCCCCAGAGTTATGATTCAGTATGTGTGGATACAGCCAAAGAATCTGAGTTTGAGTTGCTGGGGACAGGAGGGGTATGTGTGTGTTAGGGACACTGGGGTGGGAGGTACTGGGGAAGACGGTTCTTCATATCAGATGTTAAGAAACCCAGTGCCAGCACAGAACACTTCCAGGTACCTTCCATTTGAAAAAGGGGCCCTTCTGCTAGACACGCTTTTAAAGAGCCTTAAAAAATGTTCCATTCCAAGTACCTCTCCCCCTTGACATCCAGTGGCTCCTAGGGTCCCTGGAAATAACAGGGAAGCAGCAGGAGTCCGGTGATGTGTCCAAAGGCAAACAGAGCTTCCCCTGAGAGAAGGGGGTCTCAGGGGCTTGTCAAGGGGCCCCTAAAAATTCCAACCATCGGGAGTTTCTGCCGCACCCACACCTCAGAGACCAGTGCCCAGGCGCAACCCTCGGCTCCCCCACTAGTGCAGGTTGGTCATTGCTGCCATCATCTCTTGTTATTTCTAATTCCTGTTAACTTTTATCTTGTTATCTTGTTACCTTTAATTCTTCTGGACCCACTAGGCTTCTACCTCCCTTGGGTGATTGAAAGTCTTTTTGATTCAGTTCTTTACTTGCTGATCATGTCTGGGTTTTAGAATCTATAGGTTGTTAGCAGAAGGGAGAAAAGTCTCCTGTGCAGAGCTGTGCCTCCCCCCAGGATGGGCACATGTGAAGATGCCAGCCCTCAGGAAGGGAAAGGGAGGTGGCGCTTGAGAAGGAAAGGACTGAAGCAGAAATAAAATGCGATGTGGAAGTAGTGTATCTAACACGTTCTGAGGACTGGCTAATTTATTCTGAGCAGCTCCTCAGCATAAAACGCGTCTGCAGGCAGCCGGCTGCCTTGCCATCCTGAGGGCTGGCGAGGGCTCAAGGAAAAGGACGGTTGTGTGATTGGGCTGAGGAGATCGTGTCTGCCAAAGCCCTTCTTTGGGAAGGTCACTCAGAAAACAAGGTTGCAGGATCATCTCCCAGGACAGAGGCTGCACTTTGATCTAAAAATCCTTAAGTAGGAGGAGGAGAGAGATGAGGAAGGAGGTGAGGCCAAGAGTTCGTAAGTGAGGCCCAGCAAGTCTGAACCCAGACCAGTGTCCTGCAAGCGGAACAGAGCTTCCAGCTCATTCCCCGGGAGCTCTGAAACAGATCACTTGTCCATAATTCAGACTTTGCCTTGATGAGGGTCCTTTTATGCCCAATTCTGCCGTCACCATCAGTTTTACGGCAGAGTGAAAAAATGAGGACTTCAGAGCCAGACCAAACGTGATTATTTTACATCCTGGCTGTGGGACTTCGGGCGAGCTAATTTCCCTGGGCCTCAATTTCCTCATCTTTAAAAAGGGGGTAATGGGACCTACCTTGTTGTGAGGATTAAGGATATACGAAGGTATTGCAACATTGTTTGTGCCCAAAGGATGTGAATTCCCTTTTGCAATAAAAAACGACAACTCCCCTTTATGTATTGAGCACCCCCTCCCACGTGAGCCAGCTATGCGTTACGTTATTGCAGAATTGCAGCGTGGCAGTCCTTCGTGAGCTGGGTGTGGGGGTCCTCATTTAATAGGCGAAGGGCCTGAAGCACCAAGAAGTGGAGTCCAAGGCCATTTGGCAAAGATGGAGGTAGGATTTAGGCCCAAGTATAATTTAAGATCCAGGTTCAACATTTGGGCACATACTCTCTCTTCTGAATCTTTTGCTTGGCAGGACAGAGTTCAGCAATAGAAAGATCCAAAGAAAATGCACTTTCAGCACTTGGTGTGATTGGCAGAGTATAACCCGGGACTAATTGACGTGTTTGTTGATAATAATTTGAGGCCTGTCTTTGGCTAGCACACATTGGCCTCACACTCTATTTGGGAATATTTATTTATTCTCACAGCCTTTGCTTTGTTTCCCCAACAAGACTACAGGTCAGCCTAAGCGGCACTGTGAGTTAAGTCTGGTTTCTCTTGCTAACTGCCACTTAGGAGCAGCCCTGGGCTTCCTGAACCCCCGTTTCTCTCCCTGTGAAGGAGCTAATGATCACTGTCCTTCTGATCTCAAGAATTCTTTCAAAGATCAATGAGCTAATAAAAAAAGTGAAAGCTGTGTCCAACCCTGAATTACAAGAGAAATGCAAGGTTTCCTTCTCGGATCCCTGGAGGGCAGGAGGGAAGGCCTGACTTCCCCCTCTGTTCCTGCAGCCTCCAGAACAGCACTGATACAGCAGGGGACCCCAAACCTCTGCATCCGCCCCTTTCCTCATTAATTCATCCACACCTTCCCAAAGCAGTGCTTCTCATCTATGCATCCGCACCCCTGCAGCCTTCGCAGAGGCCCCCATGCTGGGAGAAGCATGTTCCCTTCCATCCAGCTCCTAAGCTCAGTGGGTAGGACCCCAGATCACCTCCTGTCCCACCTCTGCCCTGAGACCACTACACCCACCTCAGCGCCCCCCCCTCCCCCCCTCCCGCCGCCAGCAATCTCTGTCCCAGCTAAGCAGGTCTCTGGCTGTTCTTTACAGGAGACTCGGCAGCATGTTCACACCATTCCTCTGCTAAGGGGTGTCCCTGACTTTTCCTCTCGTTGCTTCTGGGCCTAACCCAAACTTTACTTTCCCAGGAGGCTTCTCCTGAACATCCTGCTCCCAAAAGGCCTGGTCTTTTAATTTTTTAAATGGTCTAGCTGTCAATATTTATTTTAAATGAGATAGAATTCACATACCATAAAATTCACCCTGAAGGCGTTGGTGGTATAGTGGTGAGCATAGCTGCCTTCCATAAAATTCACCCTTTTAGAGTGTACCATTCAGTGGCATTTAGTACAATCACAAGGCAGTGAAACCATCACCACTACCTAATTCCAAAACATTTTCATCACTGTAAAAAGAAACCCCATCCAGCCCTGGCCGGTGTTCTCAGTGGTTAGAGCATCAGCCCTCGTACTAAGGACTGAGGGTTCAATTCCTGGTCAAGGGCACGTACCTGGGTTGCAGGTTCAATTTCAGGGGTGAGTGTGGGAGGCAACCAATCGAAGTGTCTCTCTCACATCAATATTTCTACCTCTCTGTCTCTCTCTCCCTCCCTCCCAAAAATCAATGAAAAAAATATCCTCAGATAAGGATTAACACACAAACAAAAGAAACCCCATCCACATTAGAAGCCACTTCCTCCTTCCTCCTTCTCCCCAGCAACTGGCCATCACTAATCTACCTGCCTCTATGGGCTTGCTTATTCTTGGCCTTGCATATACATGAAACCATACAATAGGTAGCCTTTTGTGCCTGGCTTCTTTTCACTTAGCATAATCTTTCCCAGGTTCATCCATGTGTAGCATGTATCA